CTCCAGTAAAGCACATTCACATGAAAATTACTCTGAATTAAAAACACTGATCATTTATTGAACAGGATGGAATCATTTCATAATTTAAGTACTTTCAGGACTTTTTGAATTCTAAATATGAGCCGACTTTTCCTTTAAACATCATCTGCTTTGAAAAGTTCCTGGAAATCAGTCCGGGAAAATTTCCGAACCCTAAAACTGTAAATACTAAAGTCCATGTCTTTAAGTCACTGAAGGATAAAAACAACGTTCAGATTCTTTTGGAGGAAATAAAGAATCAAAAGTCATCATTGAACAGGATTTTATTTCTAGAGTTCTTATCCTTCTTTAGTTATTTGTGGGCTTTAATAGAAATTAAAAGCACATTTTTGAGTTCCAAACTTTTCTCCTTGGAGTATTGTCTGAAAAATGAAATCATTAAAAAACAAAAACTCCTTTTAAGGGAATGATTTAGTGTTTCAGCATAAATTTGAACAAGTTTTAGAATAAAGTAGATCTAAGTCAGTCAGACTGGAAGTAAAGTAAACCTTAAAGCCAAACCAGAAGCCAACTTTAGCACTGTGGACGAAGAAGAGGATGATGATGATGATGATGATGATGATGATGATGATACGGACACTCTATCCCATTTCTTATGTTTGTTAATGTTTTCTACTTTGGGAACAAAATGTTTTAAAAAGGAAATGAACCCTCCTGTTTTCTAAGTGGATAAAGGAAAGGGATGTTGGTTTATGACCAGTACCACCAACTGGAACAGCTTCCAAATGGTCAGAGGATTGAAATCCCACTAAGCTGCTGATTCTGTGAGCGTCTTGTTTTCCCTGCAGCTACCTGAGGACCATGACGTCTCTCCTGGATCCTGCACAGATAGAGGAGAGGGAGAGGAGGAGGCTGAAACAGCTGGAGCAGCAGGTAGGAGGAGATGCAGATGGCAGAGGAGCATGCTGGCTGCTCTGAACTTTTAACGTGATCTGCTCCCTCCTAGAGGGCCATCGAGGCCCAGATGGAGGAACGCAAAAAGCAGCGGGAGCAGGAGGAGGCCAGAAGGAGACGGCAGGAAGAGGAGGAGGAGAAGAGGGTTACCCTGGAGAGGGAGAAGCTGCAGAAGCAGTATGAGCTGGAGATGCTGAAGAAGAAGGAGAAGGTGAGAGTCCCCCCTCCCCTCAATCCCCCCTGAAGGTTTGTGATTAAAAGCAGTAAAAAGTTCACAGACTGTACTCCCCCTTCTGCCTCCGCCCTGGGCATCCGCCCATGTGTCCTTCATCAGGACAAACCGCCGCTGACAGAAGAGCACCAGCATCCTCTTCCTCAGCCGTTTGTTCAGCCTCACAGGTCTGACTGTCTCCCTCAGACCGACGGCATCCCTCACAGCAAGGAGCCAGAGGAGAACCTCGCTGGCGGCGGACCGGAGGAGACGGGATCCGAATCCACAGGTGAGAGAGAAACGGCGCCCATTGCCGCTGTTCTGTCAGACGAGCATACCCATAGTCAATACCTCTTTATCCCTTATCTTTATCTCTTTAGTTTTGCACAAAAAAATTGACTTTACACTAACTCAATGAGAGTGTATCCCTTTAGTCATGTGCAAAAAAACTATTTAATTACTTACTTTTTGGTGTTTTTTAAGCCTTTAAAGTCGCAGGGAAGCGGCCGTTCCAACCGTTGCATTTCTGAATTCTCAGGAGTGGTGCCCGACTTTACACGACAGAATAAAGTGAATGTGATTGGTCGATTATCAAAGGGGCGGGATTACTGTGGCAGAAGGTTTGCAAGCAAGTTTGGTTGTGGCAGGTTCGTCTGAAGCATCTTGCTAACCAGTTAGCATCTTAGTGCTAGCAGGTTTCCAATGGGAAATTCCATTGGGACCAAGTAGCACTAA